CTTTTGCCTTCCATTGCAGCAATTTAGTGTGGTTCCCAACTTTTACGCCTGCATCACAAGTTGGGTACAACAATTTCTTGTGATCTTCTAGCATCCGCTCGAACTTGATCTTCTCCTTTTCACTTTCACATTCTCTTTGTGCGTCACGAATGACCCGAGAAAGATCATCACCGGCTCATCTTCTGCGGCTACCTCTTCTTGACTTCTCCCATTGCAAGATATCATTGAAGCACGCACCATCGGGAATAATATCATTGTCGTCCCATTGTTCTTCTTCACCTTCTTCCATTACAACACCGGTTTCTCCGTGCTTTGTCCAACAAATATAGTTTGGCATGAAACCCGACTTGAACAAGTGTGAATGAAGAGTCCTTGAGCAAGGATATTCCACCGTATTCTTACATATGGCACATGGGCAATATATGAAACCGTCAGCGTTTGTTTGCCTCGGCCAAGACGTAACAAAAGAATGCACGCCCGTCAATGAACTCTTGGGAGCGGCGATCAGCATTATACATCCAATGATGGCTCATCTCGCATTACATGACATAAATACCATATTAAAACCTAGATCATAATTAATTATTTATACAACATGCGTGCCACCACAAAAGATACAAATTTATGAAAGCATCGCTACAATGTAGACAATCCTAACTACCACTAAAAGAACTAAAGCTAAAATACATTTCAAGTAGCACTAGGATTTCACGACCAATCTCAACTAAAGCAGCAGATCCCCGATTGTGCAACATCTTTGGGCTTCTTCATTTGGATCTTCGCCTCATTAGCCGCCAGTGTCTCTTGTTGTGCAAGATATTTTGCACGAGTTCAACATACTCTTCCTCCCAAAGAGAAGCCTGAACATCGCCCACCGCCATCCCTTTGAAATTAAAACAAAAATTAGAACTTTAATCACAACCATCATGAAAATAGGTATAAACTAACCATAATCATTAAATACGATAAAATAACTCACATTGCGATCCGGACACTTGTAGAAGATCACTGATCCTTGTTGGGACCCTCCTTCTTCACTCGGTACTCCATCACAATCTTCGTCTCATCACGACACTTGCCGCATGGAATGAGAGGAGGCCCGGCCTAAGTCGCTTTGGAAACCCATGAGAGGCCGAGGACAGGAAGCGATTGCCATCTACTCTCTATACTCATTTTTAATACACTATAAATTTCTCCTTTTATAAACAAATAAAATTAAGAAACTATAAAATTATCTAGATCTCTAAACAATAATATTTTTAATGGTCATTGTGTTCTCGTCTTTTACTGCGGCAGGTAAGTAATTCACATGATATTTCCGCAAATTAACAGAAGAATGGGAGTGTACACACATAACAGACTACTGCGACGATATCGGGACGTGTGACTAAATAACCATCCATACTAGTTGACCTTGCTTACGTGATCATCTCGGTGAGCATTTCTCCACCGGATGGCACCGTACTTGGCCACGTAAGAGCTCCAATTCTACGAGGAAGGGAACACGGTCTTCCACGACCGTTGCCACTCTCCCTCGTAGAATCAAAGCTCCTCCTTGACGTCCGTTACCGCTCGGCGGAGAACATGCTCGTCGAGATGAACATGGTCCGCAAGTTCAACTAGTATGGATTTTATATAATTTTCTAACTATTTTCTAAGTTTATATTTATATATATACTACGTTTGGGTACGGTGATTGACAGACTACTGCGACGATATCAGGACATGTGAATAAATAACCATCCGTACTAGTTGACCTTGCTTACGTGATCATCTCGGCGAGCATTTCTCCACCGGACGGCACCGTACTTGGTCAAGGAAGAGCTCCGATTCTACGAGGAAGGGAACACGGTCTTCCACGACCGTTGCCGCTCTCCCTTGTAGAATCAAAGCTCCTCCTTGACGTCCGTTACCGCTCGGCAGAGAACATGCTCGCCGAGATGAACACGGTCCGCAAGTTCAACTAGTACGGATTTTGTATAATTTTCTAACTATTTTCTAAGTTTATATTTATATATATACTACGTTTGGGTACGGTGATTGACAGACTACTGCGACGATATCGGGACATATGAATAAATAACCATCCGTACTAGTTGAACTTGCTTACGTGATCATCTCGGCGAGCATTTCTCCACCGGACGGCACCGTACTTGGCCACGGAAGAGCTCCGATTCTACGAGGAAGGGAACACGGTCTTCCACGACCGTTGTCGCTCTCCCTCGTAGAATCAAAGCTCCTCCTTGACGTCCGTTACCGCTCGGCAGAGAACATGCTCGCCGAGATGAACACGGTCCGCAAGTTCAACTAGCTACTTTAACCTTATTTCATGTAAATATGCAAGCTTGAAGTGATTTTGAGCTCAAATTGCTTACAAATGAAAAAAACCACAATAAAGAACCATATATATATAGTGAACAAAATGAGATAAGACAATGGTGAAAAATGAGAGTATGAGATTGGTAACCTTTACAACTGAAGAATCGACGGAGGAATCGAAGAAATCGACGGAGGAATCGAATAATGGATGGAGGAACAATGGAGGGAGGAGGAAGCAAGAACACTAGTGCAGTGAGCTTCAAAATGTCTTTGAGCTCGGGCTCGGGGAGGAAGAAGGAGACGGCCGGGATATAAAGGGGGACCTTTAGTCCGGTTGGTGGCTCCAACCGGGACTAAAAGTAACTTTCCAACCCCGGCGCAGCCACACGGCCGGGAGTAGACCTTTACTCTCGGTTGGAGCCACCAACCGGGGAGTAAAAAGTATATTTAGTCTCGGTTGGTGGCTCCAACCGGGACTAAAGGTCCCCGCCACCTACTCTCATGGGCGCAGAGCCGTTGGGGCGAGGGACCTTTAGTCCAGTTGGAGACACCAACCGGGACTAAAGGTATTTCTAGTCCCGGGCACAAAAAATTTCGGGACTAGAGCCCATTTTGACCGAGGATCAAAGGTCTGTTCTCTACTAGTGGAACCTTCATTTGTCTGCCATTAGTCGTCGATGCCGGTAGTGCAGGCGTCAGGAAGTCCTAATGGATGCATGCGTCCAGACGTCTGCACAGCCTTCTTCCTTCCGCTGATTTTTTTCCAGCCCTGCACGCGCACGTCGTTCATAGCGCCCGCGATTTCGGACTACTCGCCTCGCAAGCGCAACCTGCCCTATCCGCCTCGATTCGAGGCCGTTCGCCCTGCCCCGTCCACTGGCCCCCGGCTCGTCACGACCCATTCCTTGGCGGCTGTGCGGTGCCACCATCACTGGCAATGCAGCCCTTAACTCTCCAAACAACATGAAACACATGAATGCAACTTACGTATGAAAACAGATGTAACATCAGGACATACACTTGCAATATATCTGTGAAGCATATGCAACATTCAGATAAAACACTTGCAACTTGCAACATGAGAACACTTACTGCAATATAAGACTGAAACAGCTGAAACATTTGGAACATATTGTTGCCACGTATGTGTGAAAACATATGCAACATCCAGATCAGAACGCTTGCAACATATGTCTAGAACAGATGAAACATTTTGAACAAACCTCCGAAACACTTACAGCATGCCTATAAAACACTTGTAACATATGCAACATGTGCAACTTCTCCGACCTACTTTTGCAATATCCATATAAACAATTGTAACATACCTCTGAAATATCTGAAACACTTGAAACATACGCTTGCAACATGCGCTTTCATCGCAACATCTCCTTGCAGAGGTCGCGTGTCACTGCAGCCACGGCGTCAGTTGGACCCAGCAGCACCTCGACGCGTGCGGGGGACGGGCCACAGCACGCAGCAGCGGGGCATGGTGAGCAACGAGCTAGAGCGGGCGCGGTGGGGGATGGAGCGCGGCGCGGCGACGGAGGGGGCGCGATGTGGGATGGAGCGCGGCGCTGGATGGGGTGCGCGTCGGGAAAGACGGCCACAGCGACCACACGGTACAGCATGTGATGGACGAGCACTTAAAGTAGGAGATATTTTTTAGATTTAGAGAGAGATGAGGGCACGCAGGCCTATTGAGTCAGTGGCGCGCAGGTGCGTAAAACAGTATCCGGATGAACGAACGCTCGATCCTAAGCACTATTGTTAATCGAATGTTGAATATATATATATATATATATATATATATATATATATATATATATATATATATATATATATATATATATATATATGTGTGTGTGTGTGTGTGTGACGCGAAATGGTTGTTTGCTTGCCTTGAAGAAGCTTCCTGCAAGAAGTGTCCTACCCTTGAATTTCAATGTACCATTCAAAGTTCCACACATGCCAATTGGAATAAGACATAATCTTACCTTGTCACGAAACAAAATTTGTGCATTACGTGACCCTAATAGAAGATATTTTCGCATGAAAATGTTACAAAAAAATTCGGTTGCCACTCACACGCACAATATTGATAACGATACCTCATCTCACTTGATTTGGTAACCAGTACACCCACGAGATACATAATGCAAAAGAACTCGTGCGTCAAAAACAGTGGCCCTATTCGCTTAGAACTTATCAGCTGTACCGTTTCAGCGAAATAAGAATTTTTTTCTTTCACAATAAATTAGTATCAGCATCAGCCGTTTTTTCAGCCAGCCGAACATGATCAATCACCCCCACTGTCAATTGGAGTCGGAAGCAAGATATTTCATGAAGGTCCTTTCCAACCTTTATTTTAAACTACTCAGTACTCACTACCACCCACAGAGATACATACATAGCCACATCATGCATAGTCCAGCAGTGTCACAATCTCCGTCAAAATCAGTTCTTTTTACAAACACAAATCTCCATAGAATCATGAGAAATATATACTACACTACACTAAAAACCACTGCCACTTTTCACAGGTCACCCTTCTACCACATCATCACCACGCTAATAACAACACATTCACATTAAAGATTAGGCAAGGCCGAGCTGAGCAGTGCAACCACACACACCGCGTCTCACACGGTTGAGCCATTGAAGCGCGTCAAGGCGAACCCATGGCGCCGCCGCCGGAGGAAGAGAAGCCGCTGCCGCGGCCAGAGCCAGAGCCAAAGCCGCCGAAGCCCAAGCCGAAGGTGCCGGAGCCGCCGAAGCCCAAGCCGGCGGGGCCGTTGCCTGAGCGGGACGGGGACGGGGACCCCGCCGGCGTCGTCGCCACCACGTCCCCGCCGGCGGACCTCTTCTGCGCTGACACCTGCTCCGGCGCATGCGCTTACTTACCGCACTGCCAGCGGTCGCCCCCGCCGTCGTCGCGCGGGACCACCTTGCACCTGCGCTCGAGCCGGCTCCCCACCCCGCTCATCGCGCTCTCGGCGTCGCTCCTCGCCATCTCCGCGGTCCTCCTGCTCGTGCTGCTCGTCCACCGCCTCGTGGCGCAGCGGCGCAGGCGGCGGCGGGCGCGGGACGCGGCGCTGGCGCTGGCTCACCACGGCGAGGAGGGAGGAGGGGGCCACCAGGTGCTGGCTGGCGCGGTGGCGCAGGAGGTGGGGGAGGAGGAGGCCGACGGCGGCGGCGGCGTGCACCACGTGTGGTACATACGGACCAAGGGCCTCGACGAGCGCGCCATCGCGGCCATCGCCGCGGTGGTGTACGACGCCAAGCAGCGCCGGGGCAGTGGCGGAGGGGGCACCAACGGCGACGACGGGGACGGGGACGACGGCAGCTGCGCGGTGTGCCTCGCGGAGTTCCGGGACGGCGAGACGCTGCGCCTGCTGCCGCGGTGCGGCCACGCGTTCCACCGCGGGTGCATCGACACCTGGCTCCGCGCCCACGTCAACTGCCCGCTCTGCCGCGCGCCCGTCCAGGTCGCCCTCGCCGCCTCCGCCAACAATCCTAGCGCCGCGCCGGGCGCGCTCGCCGCCACGCCGGGGGCCTGGCAGGAGAGGAATCTTGTTGGCGCCGTCGGTGGCGTTCAGGCGACAGAGGAGACCGCGCGCGGCGGCGGCGTGCCGGACCGCGCCGTCAGGAGGGCCGCGTCCATGGTGGCGCTGCCGCGGCGGGCGTGGCCGGACGTCTCGATGCGGGCGCCGGCGTCGAGCAGCGGCCGCGAGGAGGACATGACGGGGCTCGGCAAGATCAGCCGGCTTCTCAAGTTCTCGGACGCGCTGGAGATGGCCGGAATCGGGGTCGAGCGGTCGGTCTCGTTTGGCGCCGGGAGCTGCCAGCGCTTGCCGCCAAGGTCGGGGCCCTCGGCCGCCGCAGGCGTCAGCGCTGACGAGACGTCACAGTGAACTGGTTGACGCCGACGATGAGGTGATTGGATAAAAGTTGCAGCTTTGGGAGTTGAAGGTTGGTGTTGGTTTGCAAAGTTTTGTGTGGCACATGGGAAGGTAAAAATATCATCTTTCCAAGTTTCGTGTAAAATCACAAGTAAATAACTCGTGAGTTTGTGCATATACTGCGGAGCGTCAGAAATTGTAAATAAGAATTCCTGACAAAAGAAGTTGTGTGCAAAATCAGAGAAAGTAAGTACGCATACATGTGTAACATATAAAAGATCACTCCTGTTCGTCCTGGGTACAGAATTTCTGAAAGATATGGGTGAACTGAAGGCATATGTTGCTCAAATTTGGCCCACTGAGCTCTAGTTTCTCTGTATTCATCATGACCCACCATGACCTTTAATTCTCGTATGTCTATGATCTTTAAGCTGCTGCTGCCTGCAGGAATAAGGACCAAACATCAGTCTCAATCTTGTTGAGATTCAGGTGCAGATTGCAGGCATCACCCAGATAAACTTTAAAGGAGATGAATTACTTGTGGATGATGCCAACTAGGCAATTTGTTCTGTTCCCATCCCAATACAGAATGAATTGGATGCTATCCCAATTCCCAAATCCCAACCCAGATAAACTTTAGGCGATTTTTTTTGGTTTTTGCTACTGTAGCACTTTCGTTTGTATTTAGCAATTAGTGTCTAATTATGGACTAATTAGGTTCAAAAGTTTCGTCTCGCGATTTCTCACCCAACTGTGTAATTAGTTATGTTTTTCGTCTACATTTAGTACTCCATGCATGTGGCGCAAGATTCGATGTGACACTTTGGGATGAAAATTTTTGGAAACTAAACAGTGCCTAGACCCAAGCATTGCATTGCACCTGAAGGCCTTGTTAAATTTGCCTGCCGAGGTCAGGATTCTGGACGAGAAGTTCCATCGGACAAGCCATCTCACCTGCCTTGCCATGTCTCTGTCAGGGTAACACCTCATTAAAAATGATGCTTCTGTTTGCAATGCTAATGGTGTGAGGTTAAAGTAGGCAGGGTTGGCAGTTCTTCCCAGTCGCCTCTCAAGGCAGCCAGTAGTGTGCATCAATTATTTGGACCGGACGGTTGTTGTAGGTCGTTGTTGGTCATCAAATGAGATGTGGATGCTGCAGTGCGCCTGTGCTGCTGGCTGTGGGTGAGGCTTCTAGGATGGAGTAAGAAACATAGCAATCACCTTCAACTTTTGGCATCGGGGTGCAGAAGTGACAATTTTTTTCTTGTAAAAAGTTTTAGGTGCACCTCACGATTCTTTTAGGTTGATTCAGGATAAGCTCATGCACACCGCACATCAGACCCTTTTGAGATGTCCGTTCTTGAAGCAACCTTTTGGTTTCCTTTTGGTCTCACCGCGTCAGAAGATCATTCAGAAGTATCGTCTGACCGTAGTGCACTGCACTGCTGGGCACACGCGTAGTATTAGACTTAGGGATAGTGACAACGGTGACACCTTTGAGTTCAGCAAACATATCATAGAACAAGAAAAACCGGCAAACTGCTCCTTGATTCCAGCACAGAGGTGTGTAGATCATAGTGTCACAACTCACAACACCCTTTTGTCATCCAAACAAAAGATTGGTCATCACATGTATATAAGCACCCAGAAGCTATGTGCATTTCAAATATTTTTTGTACATATTTAATGCGCTTACACAATGAATTGTTTTTGCATACAAAATAAATTGTTTCTGAACTCTCCATATTGGACTCTTGAGACAATCTCCTTACAATTCATAAGTGCAGCATGAAGAAACATTGTTACAGATGACTATCACTTGCGGCCATCAACTTACAAAACTTTGACAACAGGAGTACATGACCCTTTTTACTACAAACATGACAGGGCTCAATGCCTTTTGTTGTTGTCCTTGAGAAAAGTAATGAAGTTGACCTAAGTCCAAAACTTGTTCAATCTCTGAAGTAATACTACTAATATGTCCAGTAGAGTAGATCAGTCAGGGCTGAACAGAAATCTATCTCAACGCGGCAACATTGCCAAAATGTCTTCTTTGTGCTGCGTACAGTAGTACACCAAAATTGCAAGAATAATAACTAGTAGCATGGGCCATACGCTTGTTCCTGTCAGGACACAACCATCCATTTTTAGTATAGGGCTTGCAGGGAGTGGCTGGAAAAAACAAATCTATGAATTAAAGAAGCAACATACCATTGCTCTTTGGGGACCCAACATATGTCACCCTTGCAGTAGAGTCAAAGGAAGTTGACAGCAATGTTCTGAAATGATGTAAATCAAACTACAATGAGAAATTTCATTTTTTGTTTAGATTCATCAACTCGAAGTTAAAGATACTAACCTTGAATCCTGAGAGAAGGCCAGTGTAGTAACAATACCAAGATGAGCCTTTTTAACTGTTACAAGGGTCCTCATGTCTTTTGAGCCAACTATGATGATGCTTCCTTCGATCGTTCCACTATAAACAAAAGGCAGACAAATAAAATTCTCAAGAAAATACATCAATAGTATCTCCACAAGATGATTAATAAATAAAACCAAGGGGATCTTTCCAATCTCACATCGCAAGAAGAGCACCATTGGGTGACACAGCAAAAGCTGAAATTGCCTCACGAGTTATTTTCTTTGATCCGATTCTCGTCCATGAGGTAGTATTCCAAGATACTATTTTTCCATAATCACCTAAAAAGCAATATTATTCAGGTATTGTCAGACCTTAAGCTTGTTGCCTAATTCAATTTGTAACTAGGTCAAGTTCATCTTAATGCCACCTTGCATCGCTGTTATAAATAGGGCGTGACTGTTGTCAGTCTTATTACAGAATCTGCAGAATCCAAATATTTCCCCCTGGAAATGTACAGATCAAAACTCTCTTGAAACAAGACACGAAATCATTAAAATAATGCATTTCGTCCAAGAAAGGAACTCACTGCTTCTCTTGGCAGACTAGCTACAACTTCAGATGACTGCAAATCCCACACTCTACATGGGCCACTGCTCCTATTCACAGCAAGAAACTTATCGTCGGAACTGAAAGCATGGACCAAAGCAGAGGAGCCCATCAGTATCGCACAACCAATATTCAAGTGGGAAGAGAGAGTTTAATGGTCATTTATTCACCTGATGGTAAGATCCTTAATTGATGTTTTAGTATCAGTTTCTGTGAGAACAGATGCCATGGCAGGCCACTTGAAGACTCTTAGATGCCCATCCTACAACAGAATAGAAAGAAACGAACATGTCAATAACCATAAGATTTCAATACCAAAACAGAAGCTCCAAGAGAAACAAGAAAATCACATATGAACCATGACAAAAAACTCAAAGCACAAATGCAAGACCATACTGATAAGTAATCTACTTAAATGGAGGCAAACCAGATTTGCCTTGTTATAATGTAAAAGCAAGATTAAATATCAGTGCTCAAAGACTGTTCTGCCAGTAGGAAACAACTATTAATAGATAAAACTTATCGAAACTGATAAGCATATCTTTGCTTTTAACGACAAATTATGCTGATGGCGCAAACATGAATAAAACAAGGACGTATCATAAAAAGTGCATCTCAAGAACTACTTAATGTTATTTGGTATCTCCATACGTTAAAGACATAAAATAAAACAATTTCATTCAGAACTGCACTGGCTCTACTTTCTAGCCAAAGATTTTTGTACCATGTTGACCACGAAACAAGAATCTCTTTGCCTAAAATTAACAATATACACCCACCTCTTCAGATACCTCAACTCACTATCAGAATCCCCCATACATACTATTGTACTTGTACCAAATGATTAATAAGTTGCCAAAACGAGCTAATTGTTTGGCTACATTAATCGGTACTAAAAAATGTTGCTTATGATGACCATAGTATGTAGTATACATTTTTTCTGCATGATGCCATGAAGAATATTAATTTTAGTACACCTAGAAATTACCAAGCTAACATATCTTTCTAGGCATTTTTTTCCATTTATGATGTCAGACTCAGAAGAACAAATAAAGTTGAAAGTTAGAAACTTAGAATGCATTCCAATCTAGGTACTCGAAGTGCCTAAAGTTTTCCCTTGGGACAAAGTCAAATAGGAAAGGAAAATAAAAAGATGCTAACTAAACCTACCAACAATAGTTACAAAAAAAAAATGGAAAAAGTACACCATATTAACTTACCTCACCACCGATGGCAAGTATTGAACCTTCTCCACTGAAGGATACCGACAACTGCAAACCAACATCTTTGAGCTCCGCTAAAGCTTCCCGGTCTGGCTCCAAAGCCAGCTTCTGTGGTCCCTCTCCTTCCTGTGATTCCCATCGATACAACCTACATGAGTGTTTTCGTAGTTAAAATTATGAAAAAGCAAACTTTTCAACCAAGTTTAATTATTTATTTACTGTTCACAGGAATACGGAACAAGACAGAATTATCTTTTCTAGAATATAAGATTATGGCGAAGCATATAAGGTACATTTTGTAGCTGATACTTTCTGAACCACAAACACATCTATACTGATAACAACTAAGAAAGCCCAAATATGCTCCATGTTAGACTGCAAAAATTAGATGGTAAGGGATTTAATTACTAAGGAAACAGGAAATAATCAAGCACGCCCATTGCTAGGAACTCTGGTCCTACTCGCGAGGGATCGTAGATTGTATGTGTGGAGGATCGGAGAGCGAGGTCGAAGTGCACGAGGAAGACGGCGCGGCGGCGCCGTGGCTGCAGCGAGGGCGCGAGAAGGACGGCTAGGGCAGAACTCCCGGCTCCCAGGGGAAGCCGGAAACAATTAGATTTGTTTTTGCTTAGTCCTCAAAATAGTCTTACAAGATATTTATAACTCTTCTCATCTAATAATAGGAAATAACTTCTAGTAATTGTAATAATAGCTAATATGACGCGGCGATGTGGGCTTGAGGCCCATCCCGGACGCGGCCCTAGCCACGAGCAGGCCTTCTCCGGCCGTAGTGCACGCCCGTCATAACATCTCTCCCCGCC